TGCAGGACACATGTCATCCCGCAACGGCGTAGTGTGGGGGAGGGGGGGGGGGAACCCCCAGATAATTTCGAAAAACCAAAAGAAACCATCAGGATATATTTTTCGAAACAACAAAGAAATACATAATTTGGCGTGCCCCCTCAATCAGTCCGACCACGCTCCGCCACTGTCATCCCGCATGTCACCTTCCAAATGAGATGATTACGCCATTGGCAATAATGCATGACAGACTGAATATCGTTCAGAACACTTTTTATTCTCCCAACAAAAGGAGGATATTCTGTTGACAATATCGATGAATTTTGCAACATGTTGCGTATGACTAACTTTATACAACATATTTAGATGTAATTCCACGATAAAATATCAATGAAAAGGGGAGAAAACAAGCTTTACGAAATAACAAACTTGAATTGTGGTACCTTTGTTAGGGGTTTCTTTCCTGTTTTGGGCAAATACTGTTGATCATGGATTTTTTTTAAATTTTTTTTCTATCATGTGCTGACGTGTTCCAAGGCTCGCGTATTCCCAGTTTTTTTTTTCTTTATGTGTTTTATTGAACAATAATATTTTTTTTTAAATCACAATATTTACAAGTTATTATAAAAACATTACAAAAAATCAGTAAAACGCAGATCAAAACCTCACGAAAAGGAAATTTACACCATTTACAACATTATAAAACAGGATTATAAGACAAACTTCCATTTTTTAAAGTTTAGATCCATCTCCTACAAACAAACTTTGAAGACAGTAGTTGTATACTGGGCGTATGATAATTATAGACGAGCCCATTTTGATTATTCACTTTTTTTTTTAGTGCGTACACGGAGTCTGGCGATTATAAGGAAGTTGGGGGGGGGGGGCGTTTAGATAATTTTGACAAATTCAACGGGAATTAGAAACATGGCGGGATAAACATGACTTATGTGAGGAGAACCAACAACATGATCACAGAATTAAAAAACGCTCGAATCGTGCTGGGTTGTTACTTTATGACGTCATATTGTCGTCACCATCGAAGGTCATTATCGGGACCCATTATGCCCTCATTTTCTTTTTCTCATTTTGTTTCTTCTTCTTCTCCTCCTCCTGCTCCTACTTTTGTTCTTCTTGTTCATTTCCTCCTTCTTCTTCTTCTATATTTTGTTCAAGGCGTTTGAAATCTAGTAGACGATAATTTGCCCGTCGTAATAGAGCGCAGCACCTCCCCCCCCCCCCGACAAGCCGTAATGGTATTTTTCCTGTGTTTTTCTTTTTTTACTATAATAATTTGGAAAATAATGCTAATTATGGATGTGATGTGATGTGATTATAAATTGTGATGACGCGTTTCAAGTAGATCACCCTCTTAACAAACCAGCTATCAGGTGATATAGAGCCCATTTTTATAATTCTTTTTTTTTGGGTGCATGATTGAGCCTGTTGGTGGGGGGGGGGGGGGAGAGGTAATTTTGTCATATTCAATCGCAAATGAAAAAGTGACATGTGAGTAGCACCTTGCTCTCAGCTAGACGAACTATAACTGCATGAAAAAACGATTAAATTGTGCTGCGTTGTCACTTTGGTGTTGAAGAGTGCCGAAAACTGAAAACTGACATTATTCAGAAACAACCGCTACAAGTAGAATTTTTTTTAACGATTTACTGGCAAAACTCTTTTCTTCATGCATTATGTATTAAATTTGTATTCATTGTTGTTCAGGTTGATTGCAATATCATTATAAAATGGAGAATTGGCCCAGGCGAAAAGACCTCAGCGCAACCCCCCCCCTTCCTCTGGATAATCCGTAATGGTACGCTTATGGTGTACATTATTATGATATTTGAGATTCAAAATATCAAATTCTTTGTGTACTAAAAACATAAAGCCCGAACAAACCATTTCTCCATTTTATAAAAGCAAAAGAGGGGAATTACATTGAAAGGAAAAGCAAAGAAAGTTCACACAATATCCACTCCAATTACAGTACAAAGTACAACAGCATTTTTTATTGTCCAAACAACAGATTATTTCATTTTTTATGTAAGCTTTGCAATGATACCAACTGTGTGAACAATAATAAAGTATATAGGAGAGATGTGAAAGCTAAAATTTGAATTGCGAAAGTTTTTGCAATAATCTGTGACTTTTTTGTGTACGAGTCAAAATGTAGCGATAATTTCTCAATGAGTCAATAAAACACAAAATATTCTTATAACAACATACAAAAATGCTACTGCAACACCTCAAAATCAGAGAAAAAACACATGTCATCCCGCAGTGGCTAGCGAGAGGGACCCCCCCCCCCCCACCAATAAAAAAAAATAGAGACCATAGGGGATATTTTTGGAAAACAACAAATAAATACATAAGGTGCCCCCAATTAGTCCGACCACGCTACACCACTGTCATCCCGCATGTCATCTTCCAAATGAGATGACAGACTGAATATCGTTCAGAACACTTTATATTCTCCAAACAAAAGGAGGATATTCTGTTCACAATAATCTATGAATTTTACAACATGTTGCGTTTGACTTTACTACATAATTTATTTAGATGTAATTCTACGATAAAATATCAATGAAAAGGGGAGAAAACAAGCTGTACCAAATTAATGAACGGTTATAAAGTAATAACATTTTTAATGAACGCTCATTGCAAACTTGAATTGCGGTACTTTTTGTGAGGGGTTTCCATATATAATTTCCTGTTTAGGGCAAATACTGTTGATCATGAATTATTTTTTTTTATATTTGTTTCCATCCTGTGATGACGTGTTTCAAGACTCGCGTATTCCCAGTTTAGAACAATCTCCTACAAAGTATGAAGACAGTGGTTGTATACTGGGCGTATAATAATTATAGACGAGCCCATCTTGATTATTCTCATTTTTTGTAGTGCGTACACGGGGTCAGGCTTGTATAAGGAAGTTGGGGGGGGGGGCGGGGCGTTTAGATAATTTTGACAAATTCAACGGGAATTAGAAACATGACGGGATAAACATGTATGTGAGTAGAACAACAACATGATCACAGAATTAAAAAACGCTCGAATCGTGCTGCGTCGTTTCTTTTATGTATACATTTACAATAATATTTCAAGGGAAATGTCAACTTGTCGTCACCATCGAAGGTCTTTATCGGGACTAGTTATGCCCTCTTTTTCTTGTTCTCCTTTTGTTTTTTCTTCTTCTTCTTCTCCTCTTCCTCCTACTTTTTTCTTCTTGTTCTTTTTGTCCTCCAGCCTTCTTCTTCTACTTCTCCTAATTCTTCTTCTTGTTCATTTCCACCTTCTTCTTCATCATGTTCTGACTTTTTCCTTCTTCTTTTTCTTCTTCTTTTCCTCCTCTTTTCTCCTTCTCTCAAGTTCCTTCTTCTCTTTATTCTTCATTTGCAGCCCTTGCCGAAAAATGGCATGTTCAGACAAACTCCTAAAGAGGGATAAAACTTTGTCTTGTTTGTGATTCACACAAATATATGTATTCATGACTGTATGCATCTATTTTTGTTCAAGGCGATTGAAATCTAGTTAGAAAATGAGGAAGACGGTAATTTGTTTGGGGCTATCTGCAGCCCCTCCCCTGATAGCAGACTGACGTCTTAAAGACGTCATAAATTGGTCGTAAAGTGGTAAACACGTCGTACGTCGTATGGACGACGTAATTACGACGTCATTATGACGTCTTCAAAAGACTATTTTTTCCAAGATAATTTTTGTCGCATTGACGACGTCATTACGACGTCATAATGACGTCTTTAAAGGACTAATTTTTTCAAGATATTTTTTGTCTTCTCGACGACGTCATTATGACGTCTTTAAAAGACTATTTTTTCCAAGATAATTTTTGTCGTATTAACGACGTCATTAAGACGTCATTTTGACGTCTTTAAAAGACTATTTTTTCCAAGCTTATTTTTGTCGTATTGACGACGTGATTATGACGTCTTTAAAAGACTATTTTTTCCAAGCTAATTTTTGTCGAATCGACGACGTCATTATGACGTCTTTAAAAGACTATTTTTTCCAATGTAATGTTGTCGTATTGACGACGTGATAACGACGTCATTATGACGACTTTAAAAGACTTATTTTTCCAATGTGATGTTGTCGTATTGACGACGTGATAACGACGTCATTATGACGTCTTTAAAAGACTATTTTTTCCAAGCTAATTTTTGTCGTACCGACGACGTCATTATGACGTCTTTAAAAGACTAATTTTTCCAATGTAATGTTGTCGTATTGACGACGTGATAACGACGTCATTATGACAACTTTAAAAGACTTATTTTTCCAATGTAATGTTGTCGTATCGACGACGTGATAACGACGTCATTATGACGTCTTTAAAAGACTATTTTTTCCAAGCTGATTTTTGTCGTATCGATGACGTCATTATGACGTCTTTAAAATACTATTTTTTCCAAGATAATTGTTGTCGTATTGACGACGTAATTACGACTTCATTATGACCTCTTTTAAAGACTATTTATTCCAAGATAATTGTTGTCGTATCGACGACGTCATTACGACGTCTTTAAAAGACTATCTTTTCCAATATATTTGTTGTCGTATTGACGACGTCATTACGACGTCATTATGACCTCTTTTAAAGACTATTTTTCCAAGATATTTTTTGTCGTAAGGACGACGTTATAACGACGCCATTATGACGTCTCTAATAACCTATTTTTTTCCAAGATAATAATCGGGTAAAGACTACAACATCTAATATGAGCATAAGCCAAAGTAAATAGGGCAATTATCAGAATTGAAAATAGGGAACAACTCCCCCCCCCCCCCCCCCCCCCCCCCCTCAAATGTCATTAGTCATTATATAGTGGACCAATTTACAGATTTTGCACCATCTTAACACGCACCAAGGTCTGCAATATCGATCAAGACTAAACATGCTCGCATCTAGTACAAACGGGAGTGTGTAAGTACAAGTACGTGTGTGTGTACAGATATATGCATATACAGTTATACTCAAGGCAAGGCGTAGGGACTACATGCACTATGCATGCGATGTGTATGTAATGTATTTGAATTCAGAGTGAAAAAAGCCGTTGCATGAAGTACATCCTCCTAAATACTCTTGTTTTCTCCTGCAAATTTACAATATGGGTAAGTCCTAGAATTACCTAATTTATTTACAAAAAGTACATAAATCTATAGTTAGTGTTTTTCGTTCTGAAAAGTTGATATGTAGTCTCTATGTTACTGTAATGTACAGGCGCGTACGCAGGATTTTTTCAAGGGGGGGGTTTTAACATTTATAAATCGGTCCGAAAATTTCGCAACGACTCAGCCAGCCGCTGAATAAGCGGGGGGGGGGGGGGGGGGGGGGGGGGGGGGGGGGGGGTAAGAGGACACATTTTTTTTTTTTTTGGTCCCAAAAAAAATCGCAACGACTCAGCCGACCGCTGAATAAGCGGGGGGGGGGGGGGGGGGGGGGGGGGGGGGGGGGGGGGGGGGGGGGGGGGGGGGGGGGGGGGTAAGAGGACACTTTTTTTTTTTTTTTTTTGGTCTCGAAATTTGGAAATTTGACATTTTGCTCCGTTGGGGGGGGTAAGGTCACCTTTTTTAGGTCGGCCATGGGAATAATTTTTTTTTTTTTTTTTTTTTTTTTAATAATTAAAAAAAAAAAAACAAAAAAAAAAAAAAAAAAAAAATCCAAAAGGGGGGGATTTTAGGTTTTTTGTAGGGGGGTTTACACACAAAAAATTTCCAAAGGGGGGGGGGGTTTAACCCCCAAACCCCCCCCCCCCCCCCCCCCCCCCCCCCCCCCCCCCCCCCCCCCCCCCCCCCCCCCTGCGTACGCGCCTGGTAATGTATGATCTTATGTCAGTGATAGTGAGCTCGGACTTTCAACACTTGCTGACAAGATTTGGATGTATGATCCCATATATGTATTTTTATGTAGGGTCTTGATTGAAGGTATGCATGGCATGGGGCATCATTTAAAGCAAAAAAAATTACTCATTTGCCTACACATGGGCTGCATGGCTTTAAAGGGAAATCTAACTCGAATATACAACTGCTCTAAAACTAAAAGAAAGCAGAAAAATAAGAGAAGCAAACTGATGAAAGTTTTGGCACTAGGTCTAGAATTTACTGCCCTTCCCTTGGCTTGACCTTGTTCATAGACGCAGGCTATGTCAAGTGGAAAACACTCTGTCCCTCGGATAGGACGTTAAATGGAGGCCCCGTGTACAGGAGAGTCACCACCCTTGCACGTTAAGAACCCATTGCACTTTTCGTATAAGAGTAGGGGAAAACCCGGTGTAATGGTCCACCTGCACACCCAAATCAGGCCGAGTATACGGCATCTGTAAGAATCTTCAGTATTGAAGGAGGCAGATTATCTTGAAGAAGAAGAAGAAGAAGTCAAAGAAGGATAATACATTCAGTCACGTGTGACACAGTGTGAGAGTGTCTACTTTATTCCAAGCAATACTGTAGATCTACATGATCTACTACTAGTTCAGAATCATTTCCAGACTTTTTTACCAGTGACCCATAACTCTGGCGTGGAGATAACTCCGGGAAGCGTCTTATTTTTTCGTACCACGGCGAGGCCGGATTCCTGTTTTATCATGAATATTCATTAGGCAGGGTCGGGGAAAGTCTAGATTCTCTTAAATATTCATATCGAGGTGGGAATGCACGACGCGCGCGATACTCGCACAAAGTGAGAAGATTTAGTTCACGGAGAATGCATATGGGTGAGTAATTGATTGAAATATCAGTAGATTAAGAGAATTTAGTCATTAATTTGAAAAAGCTGTAATTCGTGATCTACTGTAATTTCTTTACATTTTGAGACTGTTCTCAACAGATTTGTGGGGAAAAGGCTAGGAAAATATTTCTCTTGAAATTGCACTTTGATTTTCATCGTCGTGAAGTAGTTTGACTGCGGTTTGCCTTCATGTCACCCTTTAGAGCCCCGGGGTTCCGGCAGGCCCACGTTGGGGAATGTCGGTGCTCATCTGCATTAAGATAAAACTTTCTGATCAGGTTTTATTCCAAATTTGATCGTCATCGTGAATCTAATTCACCAATCATCCATTGAATTTAAATCTAGATTTAACGTTACACCTTAAAATAATCTATGAAGTATGATTTCTTTAATAATCCAAGAGGGTTAATTCTTGTTTATATCTTTAGTAGATGTCGACTCTGTTGGCTATACTAGTATTACTAAGACTAAGTGCTATCCGTTCGCTCAGTTGCATCATTGGTGCGTGTCAACTTTTAGACCAAAATTGTTTGTGACCATGGATAATCAAACGGCTCCAAACCATATTTCATTTAGACGTAAACCTGGAACTTATTAATAAAAATATTCAAAAACAAACAAACTAGACCTAGGATTCATTTATTTAATGTTCAGATGTTGTGTGTGTCCAGTGTGCTTGTCAAGTTGTCATAACTTTTCTAGATCTAGGCCTATATTAAAGATTTTTTCTTCTCCAAAGTGTGCAGTTCATTTGATAAATCTATTTTTTGTTGGACGTTGTATAAGAGAAGACCCCTAGGGTAGTCGACAATTATGTTTACTTATACGCAGAGGCGGCGGAGGAGCCTTTGGGCGAAGCAACTTCCAAAGTGGGGGGGGGGGGGCACCAACAAAAAGGGCACTTTCTTAAAAAAAAAGGGCACCTTCAGAGGGAAAATATACCATTTTTTGACATTGGTATATACCCCTATTTTGTGATTACATTATCAGGGATGATTTCAATATTTGTTTCTCTTAATACAGCATTTAAGATATTGCTTAAGTATCATACTTTGCAGTTTTTGGCTTGCAGTGCGAAAAATTACATCTTATAAAGAGGAAAACCCAATCCTGATGGGGTTATATAAGCACAATCTCATAACGGAAGACTGAATAGATCTGTGATAAGTTACATAATTATAACATCTATAACTATGGGCAAGCGTGGCGAGCGAGCTTTGTGGGAAATTGCTTTTAGTCGCTTGAAATTAGGGACACGTTTAATGATGAGAGGAAAAGGGGACACTTATCGAAAGGGTTAAGACACTTATCAGAAAAGAAAAGAAGCATGTGTCAAAGTACAAAGGCTAATTATCAGAGGTGAAAATGGGGCACTTCTTACACCTAAACAAAGAGGCATGCACCAGGGATGATAAGAACATGGGCATTTGTCGACGGAAAAGAGGCACCCATCAGATTTTGATAGGGGGCATTTATAATCAGTGAAAAGGGGCATTTATGAAAAAGGGATAGGTTCTTTATAAGAAAGGAAATAGGGTACATATCATTGTTAAAAGGGTAATGAGAAGGGGAAGTGGCTCTTATTAAAAAGAAAAAGTGGCACATGTTTAAATAAACGGGGCACTTATCAAAGACGAAAAGTAATACCGGTAATTATGATAAGGGGTAAGGGTGCTTATAAGGAAAAAAGGCATTATATAGGAAGGAAAAGGAGGACGTGTCAAAATAAAAGGGGCATTTATAAGAGATGAAAAGAGTACTGACTAGGAGGGGAAGGGGTGCTTGTCAAAGTAAAACAAGTATCTCTCAGAAGTGAATAGGGTCATTTACAAGAGATGAAAAGGAACTATTTTCATAGATGAAAAGGGGCATTTATGAGAAGGGAAAGGGCCTATTTTTAAATGGGGGCACTTATTAAAAATGAAAGGGAGCACATGTGAAGATATAAGGTGCGCTTATCCAAGTTAAAAGGGGTAGTTATTAAAAAGGGAAGGGGCACTTTAAAAACTTAATAGGGGCACTTGTCAGAGTAAAAGGGGCACTTTCCTATGTAAAAAGGGGCACTTTTAGGGTACTTGACCAAATGGGAGGGCACTCTGCCCCCCCTAACGGAGCGCCGCCTCTGCTTATATGGTATGTAGTCCACCTCTTCTTGTTATAACAAACAAATTCTACTTAGTACTGCTTCGTGTTCATAGGCCATAGAAACCACTGTTTGATGCACAAGTTAAATCTTCCATTTAGTTTTACTTTGTACTGTGGTTCATTAAATAGGAATGTTGATTTCCACACCATATTAAAATTAAGGCCAACCATGACATAAAAATATCTATTGATTTGAATTATGCTAGATCTATTTTATTTTGTTAAGGAGGAAGGGATGCCTTGATTGTCGTATTGATTTTCTTCTTCTTTTTGTTCCAAAAGATTGAAACTGAAGAGCTGGAAGGAGGACATTACAACATCTCTTATATTTGCAAGATGAAGCAGAAAGTCCCATGCAGGTACAGTTATCAGGTTATTTAGCACACACATATTAAACGACCACCTATTAATTCACTCAAAAGGAAATGGAACTAAGTTGACATTGCAAGCATATATAGTGGAGGGTATATTTTATTCTAGTTCTGCACCTAGTATACAAATATTGATGTCTTTTCTTTCTATGTTTACAAAGGAAAATTTGTCCTTATTTACAGGAGGTCCTGTGTTTAGAAGAGCCATATCAAATGCACATTGTAAGCACTACATGTAGGGTATACACAGGACCCCTCATTTTTTTTTTGTAAGGGGTACTTTCACTTCTTGAGCAATGAAGATGAAGAAAAACACAAAATAAGATTGATAAAAGTCTGTTTATAGGATGTATTATGGTTGATATGTATCCATCAGTATCAATTTTTAATTGAAGTACATGTACCTACTTTGTTTTCTCTCATGTAGGATGATGCCTCTCTACAGTGGATGATGAAGGCATTCTGGTTTGCAAACTCAGGAGAGGAACAAAGAACAGATGTTGACGGGATCATATCTAGAGATGCGGGCCTACTACACTTCATACGAGCAAGTGTGCTAATATACATGAAGGTACCCCCAATAAATGTCAACTACCATCTTATAGGATGAAACTGAGGACTGGGCAGAAAGATTCTCCTTCAAATTTGATTGATAAAGGTCTATCAGTCTTTATCAAAGATTGAATTAATCAATGATATTTTGATTATAATTATACATGTTAAAATTCATTTACCTCTATGGACTTCTGTATGGGAAGTTTTGTAGATTATGAAATTATTGCTACTTCAAGTATTGTATGTAAGAAGGTTTGAAAGACAACACTCTAAATGCATTAAATATGGAAACTGCTAATCCTCATTGCCTTTCGTATCCAAACTGGTAGCTTTCATAGAATCATGTTTCGATGCTTCCCAACTAAAGAAAACAGGGAGTGGGGGGGGGGGGGGGCTTGCTATCCTCTTATCTTATCCTCTGTACAAATATGATTATATGTTTATATTAGAAGGATTTAGAAAGTGAAATTTTGAATTATAGCATTACTGTTGGTAGAAGTAATGGCAGTGTCGGGAGGGGGGGGGGGGGGTTCCTGGTGAAATTTACGGTATGCCAATGTCAAATTAATAAAAAAGAGAAAACTATTCTTAATAATAAAAATTATACAGTACATGGGCCTCCTAACAAAAACCCTGGTACCACTGTTGTGTTTTGAGTGTTTTTTTTTTGGGGGGGGGGGGGGGGCTGGCAAACCAATTACAAATTTCCAGTGTTAAATTCAAATTTTTTCTTTAACAAAATTATGTCAATATATTTTAATTAAACAATGTTTCACTTTCCTTTTTTTCAAGTTAGATATTTGAATAAAATGATTAACATACTTTCCGGTTTCTCTGGCCTCTACATTAAAAATGTTCTACTTCTAGCAAAGCTCCTGGAAAGGCTGCAAAAAGGGAGAGTGAAGAGAATGAAATTGAAATGTGGACAGTAATGGAGTGAATATGGAATGGTTGATGGTAGTTGATAACGAGTGAATGCAAATGAGTGGCAACAAGTACGACTGAAAGTGAGACAGAAAGGAATTGCAACAGGTTGCTCAGTCAAGAGAACAAACCTTGCAGAAGATAGTTTTCGAAAGACAGAGAAAGAGAGAAAAGGGGAATTATAAAAAAAGGAAAAGGGGGCATGTGTCAAAGGGGCATTTATGAGAAAGGGTTGGGGTTGGGGCTCCTATTAAACAGGGAAAGGGGCACATATCAAAAGGTAAAAGGGCACTTGTTAGAAATTTTAAGGGGACGCGTGTCAAAGTAAAAAAATGAAAGGGATTTTATCAGATATCACAAGGGGCACTTATGAAAATGGAACAGTGGCACTTATTATGAAGTTAAAGGGGCATTTGTTGTAGAAAAAGGGGCACCTGTCAGATTTGAATAGTGGGTAATTATCGCCAGGGCCGTAGCCAGAGTTTGGGGGGGGGGGGCACATACATGTAATTGATCGACGTCCTGGGGAGGGGTCAAAAAGAGTTTAACCGATCTTGGATTTTTTTCTTCTTTTTTTTCTTCAATGTATGTGAAAGAATGTGTAGTTTTCTCTCGAGTTTGTCTCATCATGCGTGGGATCTGTGGGTGCTGGGGTTCCTGCAGCAACCCTGTACATGGATTTTCTTCAGTGGGTGCATATAACTCGTGGACTTCACATTGTAAACCTTCAAATGATGAATTATCATCGAGTCCCCCACCCCCCCCCCCTTCCCTCATTATTTTAGAAAGAAACCAAAGAGAACTTTTAAGAGAAAAAGAGAAAGGAAAGGAAAAAATGGTAGCTAGGCCTAAACAAAAACAAGAGGCAAGATAAAAGAAAACAAGATTGAAGATATGGTATCAATATTATCTTGCTCCTTTCCCTTTTTCTTTTGTCTTCTTTTCATTTCAATTTTCTTGCAATTTATTTCTTTCTTCCTTGGTATCTATTCCGTATTCTTTATTTCTTCCATTCATTTATTATTTATATATATTTTACTTTAATAATTTTGTTATTCTTCTTTCTAATCCCATTTTTCTTTCTTCCTTTTCTTCCTTATGCAGTTAAGTGAGCATAGATCATAGAAATAATTTAAGTGCAATACACAAGTATTTTATTTTTGATAAATGTCTGTATGTAGGCCTATTCTTGTTATCTATTTTATACAGTTTATAATACTGTATCACATATTCAATACCATAATGCAACCTCTGCTTGTAATATTTAAAAAGCAAACCTAGAACTGATTATTTACCAATTCATGAAAAGAACTAGACTCCCATTAATCTCAGAAAAGTAGGCCTAGGCTACTCACAAATTGCCTATCAAGACTCTTACTTGAAATATATGCTATATATCTTGTCTACCGGTACTGACATTTTGGCATTTACTAGTAATTAAACACAGCATTTATGACTGTATTATCTAAATGACCATGACAGCGCTTTTCTATGTCATATTATAGGCCTGCCATTAATCCAACGTACTTGTTACACACGATATTCGATGCTGCGCATGCCTCGATCATACATGAATATTCAAGAGAATCGAGACTTTCCCCGGCCCTGCCTAATGAATATTCATGATAAAACAGGAATCCGGGCTCGCCGTGGTACGAAAAAATAAGACGCTACCGGCCCGGGCCCAGATGTCTGGAAATTGAGCATTACGTGTCGATACGTAGAGGAATAAAGCAGTGACTTGTGTCACAAACATGTAACCTTAAACAAGTCGTTTCTATAGTCTTTAGACAGCAAATTTATCTTATAGGCTACCGGATACAGAAATGTTTATCTGGAAATAATCGGTTAGACCTGTAAATGGTAAACAAAATTCTTTCCCCAAAGGCTGTTCAAAGAAGTTTGTAGTATATGTGTTGCACATGCATACATTATCAACCATTCATTTTGTTTTAATTTTATTCATTTTCTCATTTATTTGTAGGCATCCTTTTTTAACATCTTTCGTCAAAGAAGTGGATTCAAAGCACATTGTCGCCTCAGTATATTGATGTGAAACCATGCAGAAAATGCTACTCTCTCTCAACCTTGTGGATGTTCCCTACTTCCCTAAGGATCAGCAGCCTCTTGAAACAGTTGAAGCCATTATCGGTAAATGTGTACATGTACTTGTATTATTTCTGTACATTTATTTGTCATATTGTGCATGATCACTGAGACATTCACCAATTAGACACTTCATAATGGTTCATTTCATTTGAAAGGCTTATTTCAGTTATTTGTCCTAAGTTTCAAATATATTTATAATTCTATTAATTTTAGATCACTAAAACCTGCAGGTATGTTGCAATAACCGACAATATTATGTGTGTTTCAAACAGTGTTTTTTTACCCTTCAGCATAGGTCAAGGAGCTTTCATTCTACCCTCATCAGCAAACTACAGGAATGCCAGTTTTCAGGCAATAGCCTGAATTCAGGTCCTGGCGAGTTATTTTCATACCATAGTTTAGGTTTTTTGTGTACAAGCTAGCTCATTCTAGGTGATTTTTTAGGCCCTCTGATCAATTCTAACTGGCATCCCTGAAACTAGAATTGTATTGATAATTTACCAAACAAAATCCTGAATCACGTTTTGCATTGCCCACAGATGTTTAAAATCCAAAGGTGTGTTGATTTTATGTTTGTGAGCAATAAGAAATTATTTCTGATAAATCTTACCAAGCAGTATTTTTCTGACATAATTCACATTATTTAATTCATTGTTTACGTTCCAGTTTTAAAATATATAAAAGTTTGTCTTAAATTGTATTCCTTTCTTTTTGCTTTATTCATGCACTAGAATTCCTTGCGTCTATGTTCCCTGGATCTGAAAGCAGTGCATAATGCCAGAGATTCCACCCAAAAGCCAACCCATGAGTCCAAGCTGAAGAGGAATATTTCCAAATCGATGGCTCCACTAATCTGATTGGTGAGTCATGGTCCTCATCAGCAAACTACAATTGTATTGATAATTTACCAAACAAAATCCTGAATCACGTTTTGCATTGCCCACAAATGTTTAAAATCCAAAGGTGTGTTGACTTTATGTTTGTGAGCAATAAGAAATTATTTCTGATAAATCTTACCAAGCAGTATTTTTCTGACATAATTCACATTATTTAATTCATTGTTTACGTTCCAGTTTTAAAATATATAAAAGTTTGTCTTAAATTGTATTCCTTTCTTTTTGCTTTATTCATGCACTAGAATTCCTTGCGTCTATGTTCCCTGGATCTGAAAGCAGTGCATAATGCCAGAGATTCCACCCAAAAGCTAACCCATGAGTCCAAGCTGAAGAGGAATATTTCCAAGATTACATGTAGATCTACACTCACCCGATAGTTTAACTGCTAGAAAAAAGGTTATTTTTTTACTTCATTAAAATTTATAGAGTAAGAGAGATTGGGGGAGGGGAGAGGTGAGGTGTAGCCACAAACCTGAATGGCTAAGCTGTGGAACTGAAATTCCCATTCATGTCACTTACAATTTTAATGAATTACAGGGTGTACGAACTGACATAACAGTTTGAGTAAAAGATTCCAGTATTTTGCATATATTTGTAATTACTATTTATGAAGTTGACCTGTTTCATAATGCTTATGTAGTAGACTTGATATGCTCAGTCTCATGCTCACCCCCACCCCCCATCCGCTTTGTATCAGTTCTTAAAACCTGTTGCAAATTATATATACATGTAAGTTGGTAATAGAGAAAAATTGAGTAATGTAAATACAATACAAATCGATTCCATTATTAGGCAACTAAGACTTGTTCAGATACGGAACGTGAACCGCCAACAATTTTCGAAAATGATGCAGTTTGGTTTTATGTGTAAAGCGAATGGCAACAAGTCTTTGTATGTTTTGGATTGCGCATATTCAGTGAGCTCTTTTTTTAATAATATACAGAAATGTAAAGCATATTGAACTCTATGTCAACATTAAAAAAACTCTGCGATTTTGACTGTTTTGCAGCAGCATATCTGAAGGAGCCTTAAAGGGACTTGGTAACATTGTTCAGATGAGAGAAAATGGTGCTAAGGTATTGACTTCAATGCTATACTGTATGTACACTGAAAGATAATCTGAACATTTGAGTTAAACATAGACCACTATTGATGATAAAAATTGGGAAAACTGATCAGATCCATTCCTTAATTCTCCCAACTTTATTTTTATAAATTGAAGTGAGTGTAAATCATCACAAAGCAAAGAATTAGCTCCAATACCTTTTCCAAATTTAGGCGTTGAAAGATTTTTAAAGGCCTGTTTTATATCTTATTTTCATGGAAAAACGGTTGGGGAAAATTCAAAATTTGTTGGGAGAATTAACTGTTAAAGAGTGACACACAGTAGCGCTTTCAATGAAAACCATAAATATCTTGTGGTTTGAAAAACAATTGGTAGTTAAAAGTATAAAATTCTTGGATTGTATCTGTGATTTTGAAAGCACAATATGGCTTACCTACATGTATATTGAATTCGCTGTTAAAATTTAAGTTAAATTTTAATTCTTTTGTGAAACTCCTGGGACTTGCCAAATGAATGTTGTGACATTAGCAATGGAATATATCTCTTTGTGCTAAACTTTTTCAGCATGTTTGCTATTTTATCTTAAACTGGAAAATATCTTCTGAATAATTATTCCACAGTCACCTTGGAATTGCCCAACTGAGCCAATCGTACTGGCGGGAATGTTATCTGATATAAATTGTATTTTTATACTTAAACTTCAGCTTCTGTATTTGCAACAAAACTAATTTTTTGTTATTTATAAATATGAATGTTGCCACTATATTTAAGTCATGTGCCCGTAAGAAGCAGGTTTCTAGCACAGAGAATAGGTACAGTTGAGCTGATTTCTGCACAGTTTTCTAATATGCTGTATCGCCAAATGTGAACATCGTGGTTTCAACGGGCAAGCAACCATCATCAGAAAACTCTGCAGGTATCAGTGAAGCTCTCCCTGTTCCCCTTGCTGCCAACTTGTTCCTTTTGAGTGTGAGAAATAACTTAGCTAAGCCATGTGTTTATCATTTGTGCCATTTTTCTCCTGTGTGTGATTTAGATTGTATAGTTTTATACTTTATACTGAATTCTTGCCATGAACTTAGATATTCCCCATGTATGTAACAAGAATTGATCTTTCATGCACAGAAATTCTTTCCAACAACCTTTTGTTTTATATGATAGTCTTTATCTGCATTAAAGTCTTGGGGTTGTCAGGAGCGGTTTTGCAGCAAGGAGACGAGGTAGAGCTGCACTGATGAATGCCTAGCTTTCCACTATGCTGTTTTGCTGAATATGAGGAACTTCCCCAGTGTGCTGTTTGCTTGTCTACTAAAATACTGCGGGTATCAGTGTAGCTTTACCTAGTCTCTATGCTGCTAACCTGCTTCCAACAACCGTAAGACTTATAAGTTTAGCCAATATGTCATAGTTTCTTGTAGCACAATTTATAACGAAACAGATATCTTTGGGATGGCCTGTTAACTTTCTTAAATAAATTATGAGACTGACAGAAATACACTAGGTATTTATACAGCATGTTTTGGAAGAAGTGTCAGGATAGTGATGAAAAGATTTTGTACCAATGGAAGCCAAGTTAGATAGAATAAGAAGGTATAGAAATACGTATTTTATATTTTTGTTATCCATTTTCATACCATATACGTGTACATTAAAAATATGAAAATTACTTTCTGTCTGGCATGTATATATATATTATGTGATGTTTTTTCTTTTGCTTTGATTTTACTGTGTGATTGTTCAGAATGTGTACTTTGACACTTTCTTCCTTGATTAGGTGGTCTTATAGATGTTATTTAGAGGACAACAAAGACGTAAAGATCATGTAAGGATAAAAGGTACATCGAAATGACCAGTAAAATGTAAATATCACGTCAAAATTTGATGTCCATACAACGTATACAGGTCTTTCTTGGGTGAAAGTTGACGTCTTAAAGACGTCTTTATTTAACCAATAGGACCTAAAGAGAAAATATGACGTCCATACAACGTCTTTCTATGGTACAAGTTGACGTCTTAAAGACGTCTTTCTTTGACTAATAAGACGTTAAAATCACGACAAAATATGACATCCATACGACGTCTTCCTATGGTAAAAGTTGACGTCTTAAAGACGTCTTTCTTTGACTAATAAGATGTAAAAATCACGTCAAAATATGACGTCCTCATGACGACGTGCGCGGGTGCAAAATCATGTCTTTTTGACGTCGTGTTATGTCGTCTTAAAGACGTCTTTCTTTAACTAAAAGACGTGAATATGACGTCCATATGACGTCTTCCTATGGTACAAGTTGACGTCTTAAAGACGTCTTTCTTTGACTAATAAGACGTAAAAATCACGTCAAAATATGACGTCCTCATGACGACGTGCGCGGGTGCAAAATCATGTCTTTTTGACGTCGTGTTATGTCGTCTTAAAGACGTCTTTCTTTAACTAAAAGACGTGAATATGACGTCCATATGACGTCTTCCTATGGTACAAGTTGACGTCTTAAAGACGTCTTTCTTTGACTAATAAGACGTAAAAATCACGTCAAAATATGACGTCCTCATGACGACGTGCGCGGGTGCAAAATCATGTCTTTTTGACGTCGTGTTATGTCGTCTTAAAGACGTAGTACAAGACGTAAATATGACGTGATATTTACCAGTCTCTGCTATCAGGGTCCATGCCCTCCCCTGACCGATCACAAAACGTATGTATGAGGTGAAAAGATTACGAGCCCCTTCATCCAGTAATGGTATGAATGGCACAGCGGTCGTGTGTTAGATTGTTCAGGGAGATGTCATTTATACCTGTTTTTTTCCTTGTTTTTTCAACGATGACATCTAGCGTAATGTTGAAAGTATTGTATGCCCAGGAAGACCATACACTGTCATGACTGTGTACACGAATATTGCAAGAACGTTCATCTGGGATGGGGTGAAACCGCGAACCCTCATTGGAGTTTCGTTACGTAACCGAGCGATTCGACCATTCGCTGAAGGTCACTTCATCGAGGGTCCATGCTTGGTGAGACTAGTCTTCTATACTTTAGTCCCCTTTTGGCTGTGTCTTTATTTTTTACTCCTAATACTGCAATAAAACGCACAATATTTATTATGTGCCATGTTGATGGTTTTATACAAATGAATACAACTAGGTGAGATCGCACTAATACATGAAATAGGCCTATAATATATAATTATATAACATATCATACGAGCAAAGTGGTGAAATGGGTCTGATGACTGAAGGGGCATGCTGACCATGAACTAGACTAGATGCCACATGTTCATCACCATCCCTTTTATCACTGACACCTGTACTTATATTATTATTGCATAATATTGCCGTTCGTTTTTACGCTAATTCACTGACATATCGTTATACTTTCTGACCCATCATGGATTCAGATTATGTATATACCTTCTCTTCAGACGAGGGAACCGACGTTGACGAGGCATACGATCGCCATGTGAGAGAGGTATAGTGTATACAACTTGAACTACATGTTGATTGCAATCATCAACGTTCATCCACTGCGCTTTAGCATCTATAATGAAATCCAATATGCTGCTTGCGCCTTTGTTGTGCCGTTCGTTCTTATATTTTGTGTCCATGAAATAGATGTCTAATTGCTCACTAATGAATGTCATCCGATGTGACTTGACTAGATGACCAATTACAAATACTAATTTACTCTTACTTCATCCCGTTGGCGTTAGCCTGTATGTTTATGATTAGAAACCTGGCGCTGTATCATTATGTAAGAAGTTATTTATTTTTGTTATCTCGAATTGGGGAACTTAATTTTACACAGTGTTTTTTGTAGTTGGATTTGGGTTATGTATTCACTTATTTCTTCTCCGCTTAGTAAGTATATGAGAGACTGCACTTGTCAGTGTTTATGAATGTACTGCTTTTTTATAGTTATGGTTTATATAGTTAAAGTTTTCCCTAATTTGAAGTGGCAGACTCTCTCGATCGTTCAACTCCAGCTATGCATGGATATATAATATCTCCATGAGTTACCAAACATCCTAAACGAGGATAAATGCATGGATATATAAGAAGAGATCTCCATGATAAATGCATGGTCAAGCAATTCATGTGAATTGTGATACGCATGTCTTCAATAAACTGAAAGTTGATTTTCCCCATATATTGACCGATCTTTGCCCGAGTAGAAATGTTGATGACGTTATATTTCATGAACAGCTTAGGTGCATTTTTACCTTTTTCAGTGCGAGTGTGATTACCATCTCTCTTGCATTTTTACTCTAGCATGCAGTCTATGGTCAATCAACAGAGCCGATCGAGGCAGTTCTGCCTACAAAAGTAATTTAGCAAAATAGCCTAATTATTGTTACCGTTGATGAGAGCGGTGGTGGTGGGGGGGGGGGGGGGGAGGGAGGCTGTGCAATCAGAGCACTGAGTCACGTACATAGAGTCTACCCCAGCAAACACAAAACGTTTTTAGAACGTTTACAGAACGTTCTTATCAGGTTCCGTACGTCTTCGTCCATATTAAACGTTTAAAAAACGTTTATATAACGTCTAAGTTGGGACTTTACATTCGCTGCGGAGCTAGATCTTTTGAAGACGTTCAGAAAACGTTTTTTGGACGTTACAAATTAAATGTTCTTGGATAGGTCCTGTAAAACGTTTACAGAACGTTTTATTCAGACGTATTTTGTTAAATTTATTTTTTATGTCCAAATAAATATTTCTTAAAAAATACCAGCTGGCGAAATTAGGCCACATGCATACGCATGGGGGGGGGGGGGGTCGAGGTATGTCAAACTGATGCACTCCTGTGGCGTAGCGATGTAGGGAGGCACGTGCCCCCAATAATTTTGAGGGAAAAAAATAGAAAACATAAGGTGAAATTATTTGAAGAAAAAAGAAATATATAAGGAGTGACCCCTCCCCCTCACATAATGTTTGTGCCCCCCCCCCCAGCCCAATCAGTCCGACCGCGCTACATCATTTATTATGCTCCATTCAACCACGTGTATACAAAGTGCGTACGCACCGTATATAATAGTCAGTGAATCGTATCCAGCGCGTTCATTTTTACACCAATGACGTGACTTCGAGATTTCAAATAATCTGTTAGACTGCGACACCGAGGTAAGCGTTATTTTAACATTTTGATATCTGTAAGGAATTTGAGCTTTGTTTGATTGATTTTGAAGCATGTAAAATGAAATAAAATATTGATTATTTGCATTAAAACTAAAAGTAAGGCAGACTCTATGTTGCATGTGCAGGTCGTTGAAACTTTCATTGCATTGACTGGTATGGTAATTGGGTAGGCTAGGGTATGTGCACACATAACTCCAGGAAGCTCCGATGCCGAACGGCGTCGGAGCTTCTTGGAGTTAGTGCATACATAGCTGCGAGTTAGTGCATACATAGCTGCATTACTATCCTGGTTGTGTGTATTAAAAGCTGTGCTATTGATACTCAACATTTCAAACACCACTGTACAAAACTCTTTCACTAAAAATCGGTACTTTAGTGACAATTGATGACACCTAAATAGCACTAGCAGTAGTCTAGTCTAATAAAATACAATTTGTTCAACTTACCGATGTTATTTTGTTAGAAAGAACAATTTAGAAATTCAAATTGTTTGTCTAGATCTACTGTCAAAATTTGCTTACAGCCGCATCGGCATGATTGTATTATGTGTATATTGACTATTCCTTTTGAGCAAATGCTGCCTAAAAGTATTAACACGTAGTGCAGTGCTAGAGGTCAATACGCATAATAGCATGGACTTTTTGCTGGAGTGGGTATGTGCGCATGGCTCGTTACATTACATGGTAATCGGATGATTAAAACAGTTGAGTTGTTAACTTTGCTGTCTGGAAAAATCATGGAAAGTTCCCATCGGGATTTAAAATGCTATTTCGTGAAGAAAATAAGTCCCTCGACTACCAGCTCATTTCGCGACTTATTTACTCTTCCCTCAATAGCATTTAAAATCCCAGTGGAACATTCCATGCTTTTCCCTCCACCACCATTTAGCAACTTTATATTATCCCACCCCCTATTACAACAGGCTCCCCAAACCACCTTTTTTGTATGGAAATTGTTTTTTTAGAAATATCGCGACCTCTTTTAAGTTCAGATGACACATTATTTAAAGAAATTGATTTCCAATAACGTAGATTAATAACTTAAGGATTGATTTGTTTTATATTTACATACAGGCAACTATGTGAAAGCGCAAAAGCATCGCCAGGAAGGCAGAGGACACGTCAAACCTGGTATCGGAAGATGATGCTGTGTAGACGCGAAAGAGACGTCTTCCCCAGAGATTTAGCAAATCTTCTAGTGATTCCGGAATTGACGCTGGTAAGTATTTGTCTCTTGATGGTTAGTAGTCCTTGGTTCGGCCAGAGACGTATAATTTACATCTTATTTCTTGTTTTCTTCAAAATCCGACAGATGAAAACCTAATATAATTTATTTGGGATAGCTAGACCTGCTTTGTGTCCCAGCCATGCAAAATGATGATTAATAGATGTGGCACCATTCCGGCAAAACTGGAAATTAATTTGTAATCTAGGCATAAATTTCGGACAAGAAGTTTGCATTACCCAAAAGTTTGTTCAGTTTATGAGAATTCTTGTCATGTCTTGATATCCCTTTTAACATCTGCAATGTGTCTCTACTTTTCAGATCTTGAATCGGTTAGGACCAAAGAAAACAACATGTACGCGGAGGAACGATTAAGGCTGTGGCAGCAGAGATACCAATGCCGAAACTGAATGCGAAGTCCAAGTCCACATCACATTTTTCAGTTCCAACCCACAACTCCAGCAAGGGCTCGGGCTTCGGAAAGTAAGTTTTTTTCAGAAATTCAGATAGCATTTCACAAACAAAAGTTTCTGAGGGTTTTTTTATCATCAGAACATATACTGTAGAGCGTATAAACTAACAAAACAACATTTGCCATTTGTACTAAGTTGCTACACTAAAATACTGTTGGATTGGATAAGAGAGGCAGATTATCTCGGCGTACATGTAATTTATTTCATCAACAAGGCATGGGTATAGTTTTCTTACAGAAGAGTCGCTTTTAAATCCTTACAGTATGTATACTTTGTTGGAAGCGCTGCACAGGTGTCGTCTTTGAAGCTGGGTGATATATTCCTGAAGTGACTAAATTTTTCAGCTATCAAACATATCTCGCCAAAATATCCTATTAATTTGCTGTCAAACTTTTTAATGACTTGATCTGTTATTATAATGTATTTTATGTGTCTGTTTTTTTCTTCTCAGGCAATTTTCAAGTGCAGGTACTGTGTACGCTGCAGAGGCTGGAGGAAGGGCAGCAGCAGCTGAAGCAGTTGGTACAAAAACTGCTTTTGTCCAAATCGGGAGCGGCCGTTGATGTGGAAGACCTGAGGGAGCCGTTTACCAAACCAGTGAACACCAAATTTTCATTCAAGGTAGATTAAGATACCTTCATTCAGGGGCAATGCAAAAATCCTAAAACTCGTATTGAAACCAAATTTGACCATTTCAGCTAATAATGGAGAAACTTTATCAGCGACATAACAGTTTTGTTGGTGCATCTTTTTTAATTGAATTGCCATCATCTTGTTGAGAATGCAAGACAAAGTTGTATAGGTCTGTAAATTTACTACTTTTTGTAAGGATGCTGAAACCGATGGCCCGAATTCACAAAGGAGGTTTGAGCTCAAACCTTGGTTTTCGTACGTCATATGACGCGTTTTACGCGTTTTTTACAAACCTGGTTTGTAAACAAGCTCAAACCTTGCTTTGTGAATTCGGGCCAATGTGTGTGCTGCCAAACTCTCTTATAACCTTGTCTTCTATATTCATAGACCCTTAAATTTGAGTATTTATATTTGCCTGTTAATAATTCATATCAACTCAATTCTATCAGTTTATTGTAAAAAGCTTTTTGTAGATTGTTCATGTGTTTTGTGTTGATTTTATATTTGAAGTAAGGCTTCTGGGAAATCTTAACCTGCCCACTAAATCTTTGGTCGATCAAAAGGACAATTTTTTACTGGGATTTAAAGGGGAAATCTACCCTAGAAATTTCACTGCTTCAATCAAAGGAGACAAATTTGAACAAAATTAAAAATAAGAAATGGGCAAACTCGGTAAGGAAACTACTCTTTTTTTTAACATTTTCTAGTAAATTACTCCCGGCTATTCAAATTGACAATGCTGATGACATCTTGAGTAGCTCTAAATTCACTTTGTGCACAAAATTTCACATTTTCTAACCCCCATAGTCAAAGCATGTTGTGTAGAAAGCTACTCGTCATTAGTAATCTGAACATACTCTGATTAAAAGCTGTGGAAATGTGTAACTTTAAGGAAAATTTAGAAAATATGAAATTTTGAGTACAAAGTTGATGGATAGCTACTCACAGTGGTGTCATCAGTGTTGCCAATTTGTAGAGCTGAAACGAGTGTAGTTTCCTTGTTTTTTTTGGCCGTACTTTCACTTGAAATGTGACTTCTCAAAATAGTCACATTTTTATCACTTGTAGAAGTTGATGAGAAAGTAAATACATGTACTCTTTTGAATAGTTATAATTTGCACCGGATGATGAAGCTAATCCTGGGTGGAGGCACATAGCTAAATCGGTTATTCACATGTATTTAATGATAATTTGTGACATTTTGTTAAAAGGTTCTGGTGAATTTGATATAGTACACAAAAAATTCAATCCACTATTTGGTTTTACCAAAGATCAAGACTTATTATAGAAAGATTTCTTAATCATTTGCTGGGGCATCTTTTTGGCATGAATTGCCAGGTTCTGTAAATAACTCAAATTGCTTTTATAAAGTGTGTTACCAAAGTTGCTATATGTGTGCTGCCAAATTATTGACACTATTCAAAGTATTCATTTTATCTTGCCTTGTTTATTCATAGAGACATAGACCCGTGAATTATATGAGTATTCATATTTGCCAGTTAATGAGGCATATCTTCAACTCATCTATCATTTTCTTATGTTTTATTTTTAGATTGTTCATGTGTTATGTATCTATAGTTTTAAAGGGATAGTTTAGTATTGGTCAAACTTAACTTTAAAACCAAAACCTGCACCATCACGGTGCAAAGTAATAATTACAAACGGCCAAGTAAAGCCCCTGTTATTATTCAAAATGACCCGTTACTTTCAGTTTCTGCATTTAATGTTTGTTAAAATAATAATTAAATAAATATCTATATCAATTGCTTTTTAAAGAACTGTTCAGATTTGTTTTCTTCAAAGTAGTCTTCAAGCATTTTTAATATTTTGAATACAAATATATTTATGGATATTTCAGCCGTTTATGAATCGATATTGATCAAATAACAATTTATTCTGAATATTAGAATTGTATGTTCTTTCGGGGGCACTTCGGGAAATACCAATACTCTTTTTCAAATATACATGATGTACTGTATTGCCAAGCCTTTGTACATATTTTGTAAATATGTTTGATAATAAATTCATAAAATCAATCAAATACATGTGTGACCTAGCGTTTATTAAAAATTCACTGTATATTGGACGTTCTCAAAAGTTTTTCTGAACGTTCTTAAAACGTTTCCAGGACATTCTAGACGTTCTTAAAAGGTTTTCTGAACGTTCTCAAAACGTTTCCAGGACGTTCTAGACGTTCGTAAAAGGTTTTCTAAACGTTTTCAAAACGTTTCCAGTACATTCTACACGTTCTTAAAAGGTTCTCTTGGACGTTATAGACGTTCTTTAAACGTTCGAGACGTTTTTAAAAGGTTTTCCGGACGTTTTTAAGGTTTTTAAAACGTTCTTAAAACGTCCCAAACGTCCGACAGGTTTTCTGCAGGTCCTTGCACTTGAAAGCAAATCTATAAAAGGTTTTTTATTGGTTCTAAAAACGTTTAGAAAACGTTCAAAAAACGTCCAGTTGGAACGTTCCAAAAGACGTCCAAAACCTACCACAAATGGACGTCTTTAGAACGTTTTCACAAAACGTTTAGGAAACCAATTTGGAACCTTTTTAGAACGTTCAGAAAACGTCCGATTGTTAGTTGGGACATTGTCTATAGATTCAATATAGGACTTATAATTATGATATACATGACTGACATTGATATACATAATAGGTCAGATACCAGTATTTCAACAATGTGACCGCAATGTGATTGCTATCGCCATCATCTATGAAATGACCAATTCATGTACTTGACCGGTTGACCACTAATTCCAAGGAGTTTATGCCTAGAGTTTATGTTCCGCCGTTCTTGGGTAGCTAGGTAAACAATGTACAGGTCGTTCTGAGAATCGCAACTTGAGCGGAGGGAGGCTAGCGGAGCGGATCGTGTTAGTGTGTGTTTGTATTGGGTTTTTACACACGTGTAGTGGTGTGTGCATATTAGCCTTCCTCGTCGCTGGAGAAGCAGGCTTCGGTCCCCGTTTCTTCCCTTCCATGTTTATATCGAAAAGTATTAGCAAAGCCAGTCGTTTAAAACCGTTAAAATGTCACTCTCTAAATAAATCGAGATAGTATAATTATGGCAAAAGTAGAACCAGAGTGCGAGCAACGACGATATAATCAATGAACAACAGCTGATGAACGCGAACGATAGGGAGGCAACAAAGTGTGTACTCTGAAATACCGTGGATCGATAATAATAATGTTGCTTGCCTGCGCATTTAGCGGCCACGAGAGGGAGGCAGAGCGGTAAATTTCAGAGCCTAAAACAATTCGAAATCTAACCGTCGGAACTCTCTCACCGGACCACGAGAGAGTTCTAATTTACCAAATATATCAATTAGTAGGCGGTTTCCCGGCAAATTTTTTATCATCATGTATTAGTCAAAACATATTCTTTCACATGATTGGTAATGAGAGCTTCCATTTCATTTTTTGAAATTGGGGCGTTACCAATACTGGTCTTTACCTTTAAGCCAGGTTAATCTTGAATAATTTTCCCTCGGAAAATTCTTTCGAGACGGTATCTCCATTCATTACAGCTTCCTGCTTCTAGGAATGTGATTTTCTCTTTGAAATTCAGATACCGTCCGCAAAATAACGTTCTGGTACCCTTCTTCATTTTTTTTAATCATTCATGCGTGAAATATGCATCATCTAAGGATCTTAGCTCTACAAATATGTGTAATTTATTAGTTATTATTGTAATAAGGTTATGATAAAACATTGATGATTTTTTTTTTTTTTTTTTTTTTTTTTTTTTTTTGGGGGGGGGGGGTGCACTGTATAACAAAATTGATTGATAAGTCATATATCAAGTTGCCGATATTATGTCGTCATGGGTCCATTGTTTCATGCATTGTACATATGAGACTATTGTCCAAGGTTAAAATATATTTCCTAGCTCAAAAAAACTTCTAAAAATGTACTTCAGGCAAGTAGGATAATGGTAGTTCACTGATCTGGGCCCTTTTACATAAAAATTACCATTGGTGGTAACTTTGCCATCAATGGCAACTACCATGGTAACAGGGCTCAACAGCCAATCAAAATCAAGGTTTCAATGATAGTTACCATTGATGGCAAAGTTACCATCAATGGTAGTTGTGTGCAACGGGGCCCTGGCTCTCTACCTACCATGTATGGCACACAATGAGCTGCATATCAATATTCAATTACATAGCTAAACTACAAGATATTTAGCTTACCTGAAACAGCGAGACAGACTCCTACAGAAACTGTGTTTTTGAAGAAAGTGCTGGCAATAATAAATGATCCACACAACACTCCACCCAACGTAGCGACAAAACGATGGTTGATCTTTGGCAAAACAAGCGTTACAACTGGACCTGATATATTGATAAAATAATAATGAGAACAAATACTATATTAAAAAAATTGATGTAACTTTTATCACAACAATTCTGAGTAAATTTAATTTGGGGCCCGTTTTCCAGAAGTGGGCGACATTTCTATACACTATAGTTTTTGTAAATATATTGTTACTATGTTTTTAATAGTGGAGCCGTATCCAATAAATAATGTTTTGATTTGCTTTATTACATTTTGATCGGATATATAGCCTACTAAATGTACAGTTACATGTACTTACTTTGTGCATTTCTCTATATTCATACTATGTACGGAAATATAACTAAATGTACGTAATTTGACAATGTGTTATTTATTTGCCTACGTATGTGTGTATTTTGTATTTTCCCAATCATCTGTAGTATAATACATCAATTATTATAATAAACATTTCCATATTTACTATTGTAATTTTCGTTTAGGAAAAGCATGCATAGCAACATTTAATACTACTACGTAAGGGGCATTCAAGAGTACTGTAACAATGCATTATTATAGACACATGTAAGTGCATATTTATCATGAAAGCCATATTTTGATTACAAGTGCTGCCGCAAAATCCCCCTAGCGCCATCTCAGGTCATCTTTAGCAATGTGGTCCAGTAACTTGCTGCTTATAGCTAACAGAACTGAAAAATAGACGTATTTTCCAGTTGTGTGTTAAAGGAAGTGTATCATGACGAGACTATGTGTCTTTCACGTGGCCCTACTCGGGACCAATCGGGTATAATAAGAAGGCAGAGAAGTAATTCGACCAATGACAATCATTTTATAATCAGCCTTAACCTTAATATTTGAAGTATCCAGATCTGCTCGCCCCAATTTAATACGTTGGCGCATTCAGATGTTATTGGCGTTTGAGCATGACCGTGCACACGTATTAACACAAAATTGGGGCATCTGACATAGACCTCTGTCGCAGAAGTGAATGCGTATAAA